ACAACACTCGATTACGACCCCCTTCTCTTTCTAACTCCTCAGTGCGACCCCCCACCCTCCAGGTGGGGCGTTCCACACCCCACACTTGACCCTGCCTACGACATCATCCTGGGCTTACCAAAAACTCAAAAACGACAGGACGCCTAAAGCGGTGTTTTTCCTTTTGCAGAACGTCGAACAGTGAACGTGAATCACGGCTCCATTAAGGTAAATTAATAATCAACTTTCAGGAGAAAACATGTTGGAAAAACCATGTAAGTTTAGACACTTCATGGGAGTAGAGTTTATTCTCAACGCATCTATTTGTATGAAAAAAAATTATATACTATATTCTTTGCTTATTGACCTTGGACAAAGGACCTCGAACATTTGTAAAAATAAGATACACCGATTAGCGCATGTCCACAAACTTGGTAATTCTGTGCCTAACCGCAAATTTCTGTAGTAGCGATGAAGATCTTGGATATGTACTAGCTTCCAACCCTCGAACCTAGAGGTAACACTCAAAAAGAACACCTGTAGACTTTTCACAAACCTACATGAATTCCTTTTTCTTGGATGTCAACACCCTTTGAGTGTTTCAAATGATACATACAGTTACTTACATGAAGAAAGCTAACTAAAATAGCTAATTATCTGGACAATCTCATATAGAAAAAAAACGTGACCCTTTGAAATAACATGACAAGCTAAATAGGATTATTAGAAAGCGGATTTAATATTTGAGAAACATGGATAAACATCAACAGTGCACTCCATGACTGCGAATATGAGTTTTGACATTGTCCTTACGAGCGATTCCCCGGCCACAGATAGGGCAGCTGTGCTTCTTTTCTCCGGAATGTACCAGACGATGACGTCGCAACGTGCTTCCGTCAGCAAAACTCCGGCCGCAAGTTTCGCACTAAATTCCGCTCGCATTATCAGATTCTTCCAACAAACGAAGAATGCTTACGCTGAAAGGTTTCTCGCCGGTGTGCGTTCTGATATGCGCCTTCAAGTAGTTTCGTCGGCCACGTTTACCACAGTATTCACAGGCATAGATTCTTCAAACAGCGAATTAGAGATAAAGAAAGAGAGGACATCAGAATTTCGTTTCCCATTGAGGAAAAAAGTTTTCAAATCTAGTGTACTTTAGAACTACTCGAGCTTATCAGGAAAGGGAACTTGGTTACCGCGGCCATATGAAAGGCGATGCATACCATAAGATACATCTTATGAAAAACGCTGATTCCTAATCTGTGCTCAGTATCCGCGAAACGATCATTGAACGTTGCGAACTTTTTTTTT